CCGCCGCCGTCGCCGCAGCCGGAGCCCGTGAGCCGCCTGGACATCGAGGAGAGGAGGCTGCGCGAGCTGCGCGAGGCGGGGCTGGAGGTGGAGGAGGCCGAGGAGGTGCTGCAGGAGGAGGCCGTGGCGCCGCCGCGCGCCTTCACGCTGGTGTGCACGAAGGGCCCCCCCGCCCCCCTCGACGACTCCCAGGAGGTACGGCGCTTCGAAGCTTAGAGCTCCCATGTTATAGAATAGGCTAATCCACATATTTGTAAGTGACCAGAAAATGAATATTTAATCAAATCCCTCTGTAATGAAGTGCTCTCTCCTGAATGACAGAAAATGCAGTTCCTCGGGAGGATCGGGCTGACCACCCACGCTCACGCGCAGGAGGCCGAGCTGTCCCACTGCGAGCGGCGCGCCCGCGTGCTCAGCGCCCTGGAGCCGTCGTCGGTCCCGTCGTCGCCAAAGAGCACCGAGTCCTTCTCGGAGGAGCTGGTTCCTCTGCTGGCGCCCGGACACAGCCTCCCCGCAGTCATTACCTCGCCGGAGGAGCTGTGCCTGGCGCATGAGTACCCGCACAAGGCACGCTTCCTGCACCACTTGGGCCTCCAGCCGCAACATTCCCTGCACCGCCAGCAAGGTCAGTAGGTCGCCTCGGGAAAATGGCGAGAATGAGGAGAACTCGTTCACTCGTTCAGGCGGACTTGGTTTTAAAAAATGAGAGAAACTGCTCTTGGTACTGCATTTGGAATGGCTGAAAACTTTAAGCAGAGTATATCACATTGATTTGATTAAAAGCACCGCCTTTCTCCCCCAGAAGTGGAAGCCGTGTGGCAAATGGTCGTCCAGGAGCGGCTTCGTCGGTACCGCCAGGAGAGCAACGACCCCCTGGCCGTGAAGGTATGCGAGGCCCTGGAGCAGCTGTTGGCGGCGAACATCCACCACCAGCCGCCGCAGCCTGCCAACAGCTCCCTGTCAGTTCCTCTCCTGAAGGTCGCCTCGACGCCGCCGTCGCCGCAGGTGCGCGTGTCGCAGTCCTCGACGCCGTCGACGACCACCGCCACTACCACGTCGGCGGCCGTCGCCGCCACCGTGGCGTCGACGGCGGACACGGCCATCACGACCACGGCTTCCACCACGACCGCGGTGGTGACGACAGCGGTGTCCAGTGCGCCCATTGTCACGAGTGTGCCGCCGACGGTTATGGTCTCGAGCAGCACTGCACCTTACAGCACAAACACCACCAACTTCTCGACCAAAGTAAGTATACGCTGTCCAAGTCTTTCCATTAAGTGAACGGGATCCCCTTGTTTTTTAATGCAGCGTTTTTTTTTCTTTTTACTGATATACTGAACGTACAATATCGTTTACCCACTTTATGAATGCGTAGGTTAATACCATTGATAGAAACTTATTATAATTTCCTTTTTAGGCTTTAACGGCTAGCAGATGTAGTGGCAAGGCGCCCGTCAAGGACGCCGTTTTCATCACTGCCGGACTGCCCGAGGAAGACCCATTGCTGGCCGGCCTCCAGGGGGTGGACACCGTCATCGAGCACTTCATTAAAAATGCACAAGGTAAGTTCATTCACCATTGTTTGTTTATTTACTTATGAAAATAAATTACAAATAAACAATCAAATAAAAAAATATATACATGTCATGATCAATGAAAGTCTAGTGGGTGAAATTAAATGCATGGTGGGAGCAACAAAAAAATTAAGATAAGTCTTACAGGTGTGTCAGGCGAATTATAAAAAAACATTTTAAAACAAATTAGTTAATATATGAATTTTATCCCACAGCACAAGGAGGCAGTAACAATTCAGCTCTCCTAGAACACATAGAGGAAGTGCGCAGAAGCCAGCTCGCAGTGTGCCAGACGGCCCAGCTGGTGCAGGAACAGGTTGCCCAACTTGTTGCATCTCGTGCTCAGCTCGAGGCCCACAGATCGTCACTGCACCATCATCTGGCAGCTATAACATCCCTCATAGCTAACAGTACCAATCATTCAACTACAACTACCACGGCTGCTTCAACTACTGGTACAGGTACCATGCCTAATGGTACATCAGTATTTGTCTCAGCTCCTGTAACTACCTCTACGCAGGGTGTAAGCAGTAGTAATCACAACATTGCACAGGGAAGCTCTACCACGAGTACCAATACCACATCCACAAATACCAGTCCAGGGCACAGTCACCCCCTTCCACTCACCACGACGACCCCCACGCTGATAGGCAGCCACCCTGTCGCAGCGGTTATCAACAGGAGCTTGCAGTCTCTTGTGCCAACAGCCTCCGTCATGTCCTGGGGTGGATTATCTTCTCCTTTCCTTAGTAGTACAAACATTGCTTTCTCATTAGAGAGTAAAGATGGAGTATTTTATTCTCAAGTAACAAATAAAGAAGGAAATAAGGATTTAAAAACGACTATATCTAGTGCAAATACTTCAAAACCCAACAACAGAATAACAGTGTCTCACGGAAATGCCAAGACCTCCTCGAGTAATCGTCACAGCTCCAGTAAGTGCCATAAACATGCTCTGACAGAAGCGACCAACGGATCTCCAGCCAAATTCAATGGCATCCCGACCAATCTTCCAAAGCACATCTTCAAGCCCCTGCAGCTGAGCGGGCCAAATACCAGTGCTAACGCGGCCAAAAAGACCACGAAAACGGTCAGCTATACCCAAGCCCCCAGCGTCACGGGAGGCCTTCCTCACCCGTCTGTGGCGCTCGTGGCACCCAGCACAACCGTGACGAGCCAGAACGGGTTGATGCCTCTGCCGCTCATCCACAACTCCACCAGTAAGCATGGCAGAACCAACAAACCTCAGATTGGCTTCACCCCGTACTCCAAAACCTCTCCTACCAAAGTACCACAATCATGGGTGTCAAATTGAAATTATGTATTGTACTGTATTCAAATCTCTATTAATATATAACCTAAAAAGCCTGTTTCAACCACAGGTCTCTGTTACAGAGTTTAATTGAACCATGTGAATATTTGCCTAGAGATGGTTCCTCAAACAGTATTCCATGTTTTTAGCTCTGCCAAAGATTTTTCTTCACCGTTCGTGTGAGGATTTGAGCTGTTGGTATGGGATGTATGCTTGTGATGGTTGTAGCATAAATGAATGGATCTCACTAGTCAGGTATATTCCTATTTTAGACCCCATGGAGATCTAGGAATAGAAAACATTTTTCAGCACTGAAGACATGTGGATAGTTTACATTTCATTACACCTGATTTCCTCTGGAAACTGAAACTCACCCTGGAAAAGATCTTCAAAATATGTTGTTAAGAAAGGAAGCTTTTGTAACATTGTAGCCAGACTGCAAGGTAAAAGATGAGTAAATGCTAAGCTGGTCTTTTATATAACCCAGCCCGATTTCTATTGATTTGGGTCGTTGGGCCCTGTATGGTGTTGTAAAAGATCCTGGTGAGTGCGCGTGATGTGTGCCTCTCATGAGTCAGTCCCATGTCTGTTTCATGAGTCATCTTGTTTTATGTCTAATGAGTCATCCCATTTTCTTTATCTCCTATGGAAGTACTGTGATGTCTGAATCAGTAGCTTGAATGTAGATAATGGCAGCCTAATATTTGCTATAATGAATTCAGATGTGGATGCCAAATTGCTGCCATCACAATTGTGTACTGACAGACCAAATATATCACATTTGTATTTATAAACCAAATAAAAAAGGAAACACAAAGGTCTTCTTTGATTTGTATCAGGTTTAATAACATATGCATACAATACTTTTCCCATCAAATACAGTATATCCATTTTTTTACAAAAAAAAAGTAAAATCTGAGAAGAATGCCATTTACATCAAGGACTATTGATTCTCCGTCTTCATTCTGTTAATTTGTAAGTACTGCATCTCTTCCATAACAAAGGTGTAATTTCTTGCTCAGCAATGAAAGCATTCTCCAGTTTAACATGCAATATTAGTACATGCTAAGGCATTGTGAGCTGAAAATGTAAACATACAGTAAATGATATTGAAAAATACTCTTGATCAATATATTACATAAATACTACACGTATACCGGAAAAAGAAGCTAATCGTCTACACGCTGGTGACGTATCCCTTGCTTCTAATAGTATGTCAGCTGAGGACATAAAATAGTAAATATTTCTTTGAAGAATTATTCACAATTATGCTTCCCTTGTGCTAAGTCAAGGACCAATAAGGTCTTGCAGGCCTTGAAATTTAGTTACTGTTACTCATGTTCGTATGCCACTACATAGTCATAAATATACTGCTATGATCGCTCCTGCAGGTGACCCATCCAAGAAAATCACGTCTTGCATATGAACTATTTAATTTGTGAACTTATCTGGTGTAGTAGAAGTCAGAACTTCAGGAAGTTAACTGTGTTTATGAATCAATGATTCTAAAGAGCCAGAAGGAACATCAAATCTTGAAGTACCTATGTCCTTGAAACTAAACATTTCCTTCACTGTCTTTCAGCTAGATAAACATTGTTCCAGGCTTTCTTACCAGATCTATCACACTAAATCTTTCACTGGCTGATTGAATATATCATCCAAATTAATTGCAGCTCTAGTTTTGTTTATCATTTGAAATACAGTATCTGATAGCGAAGGTTCTCTTTTCCGAGTCCTATTGGGAAGCATATTGTTGTAAGACTACTTTCCTTTCTCTTACCCTTAACTAAGACTAAGAATATAATATATAAGCTCTTAAGGTTCTTTGTAACTACATGTGAAAATCGGGCAAATTTCAACTGGCGTTCAGTGATCATACTGTTGACAAGATGTATATAACTAAGTACTGCTTTTAGAGATAAGTGCATTTCATTTATGTGGCTTCATGCTGCGTACAATTTCTGCCTCATTTTTAGTCCAAACCGTAATACATATTCTTCGACACTGCCAATATTACATCCAAGATTCGCTTGTACATTACGGGAAACATGTATTTATAAATATGATTCTTGTATTACTGTTATTTATAACGGAAAATTAAGGTAAATCCACATTAAAGAAGAAAAATTGGACTACTACTCTGTGAACAACATTCATAAGGATTTAATCTAACTAAAGAAAATCCCGGCCATAAATGTAAGATTGTATTTATAGTTTGCATTTGAAGACGGACCCTTTAGAAAATGAACAAGTTATCAAAAGAAAATATGGGGGATTCCATAAGGTTGTCCAACAGGTTGAGGGGTCAGGTAAGAGACGACAAGAGATAAAAAGCAATAAAGTGGGGATAGGACAACAATATAAGGGACTGAAAGAGGAACCATTATCAAACAATTAGCAGGTAATAATGATAGAAATGGGTGTCGAAGAAGTATTAGAACGAGGCAAGTGACCATCGGAAAGGGATGAAGTATCAGGGAGAACGTCACGTGAGCATCCAGGAGGGAGTGGAAGGGATAATGGGGAAAGAGGCTATGGTGGTCATAAAATCATAATTGTGTATAAGCCATTAGCTTCCAAAATAGTAACCCAGGCTCCCAAGCTAAGCGAGGATCCAAGCCACGATGCGTCTGCCTTTGGGCTGTTTGATCTCAGCCATTAGTAAGGTTTTCGCCGGGTGGGTGATGCAGAGGAGCGTTCCCCTGGGTCATGTTTAGGAAGTTCTGAATGTCCTCAAGAATTTCTGGAGTTGAGTAGGAAGGTCTGAGAAACGGTTTTCTTATGAGAAGATATATAGGGGGGGTGCAGAGACATCTTGGGAAGAAGAGAGAGGAGCGGAGCAAAAGATAGCGTTGGAGTATTATATTTAAATTTATTGAACATTTTCCGCCGCGTCAACATCTAAGGACAACAGAATTATCAGAATATAGTAATAGCGTGAGGCTTGGGAGCAAAGTCCTCAGGTAAGGAAGTGCTATATGACACCAAAGGCCATATGGCCCTATGGTAAAGTATAGTAGCGAAAAGGGTTAGGAATGAGTTAATGATTAGGGTAAAGTTACAGGTTGAACAGCACTAGAGCGTAGTATGGTAGTGAAAAGGGTAGAGAGAGGGAGTAGGGAACATTATGATAAAGTATTGTGGCGAAAACGGCAAAAAGTAGTTAACAGTTAGGACAAATGGACATAATAAGGGGATGAAGAAAAGGAAAAGGAAAAGAAGAAAAGACCATGCAAAATTAGTTGAGGCGAGGGCTGAGGACCAAGGTAAGGGATTGGGGGGTTGCGTTGGAGTAGGGGGCGAGAGGAAAACCTCGTCGGCGTGCTTTCTTTACGCGCGGCCAAGTTTGAATCTGAGAACTACTACCAGACTCAGACTTGTATTTATTCATTTATTTATTGAAATTTTCTGCCGGGTCAACATCTAAGGTCATTAGCGGGTCTTCAAAATATAGCGATAGGGTGGGGCTTGGTTCAATAAGGCGATGTTTGCGGATTTGCAAAATGGTTAATGGTCAAAACAAATAAATGTCTGACATCAAAGGTCATAATGCATTATGACAGAGTATTGTGGCGAAAACAGTAAATACGAGTTAACGATTACGATAAGTGGACAGAAGGGGATGAAGAAGAGAAGGAAAAGACAAGCGTGAGAAGAAAAGACCATGCAAAATTTGTTGAGGCGAGAACTGAGGTACAAGGGGTGATCCCTTACACTGAGCCTCAGTAGGGCACGTCTCTGTGCCAATACAATCTTTATCGGGGAGGTCATGTCTACGGGGTCAGGAAACTGAAGTTAATTTCGAATGGGCTAGTTGATAAAGGGGCAAGTCTCAATGGCCCTATAAGAGTATAAGAGTCTTCATTCCTGGCCATGGGGAGCCTGAAATATATGGAGCAGACAAACAGTGAAAGGATAGACGGCTAACCAAAGGAATACCGTGTCCATGGCTCCCCGAGGCCGTTCAGGACGGACCCGAAGCCAGCCTTCTATCCTTTCAGCACGGCTCCTACCCCTTAGAGAATTGGAAGGGGCTAGAGAAGAAAAGAAATAGGAAAGGGGAAGAAAAGACCATGCAAGACTTCCAACTTTAGGGCTGAGGCCCCAGGTAGGAGTGACCCTAAGCATTGTGTCTCAGCCCCAACTCATGTGCCCCATCCACAAAAACAAAGCATGGGAGGAGGGGGGAGGAAAAGAATGCATGGGAAGTCAGCAGATATGGAAGATATCTATAGACAAAAATATATTGAACAAACCTTTTTTTTAGATTTACTTTATTTATACAATTTTAGTTCATATTTAATTATAAAGGTTTATAACAAGACACCAGAAATTAAGCAAGAACATGCTGTTATGATATATATAATAAGACAATATTAAAGACATAAAGGTTGCATAAAAATAGGGAGGCTTTTACAATTCAAATGCATCAACAATAAAAAAGTATGGTTAGATGTAGCATCAGCAAAGACTGAAGGAAGCCTTTTAAATACATTCTAGGAAACTGCATTTCTCAAAAGTTCAATAAGAAAAGGAAGGGTCTTTGTAGTCAAATTACAAAGCAATCAAGAAGAGAATTTTGTACAAGAGCAAAAGAAAGAAGAAAATCTAATTTCACCAGAGACTCAGGGTAAGAAGGTATGGAGTGGGTTGTCCTCTTTATTATACATCCACTTGAGCCAAAACATATGGACAGTCATTAATAATTACAAGGTTTAACCTAGACACAACTTTTGGCCTAAATTCAAATTCATATCAAAGTACTTGCTGTAAAAAATGGCCTATTTCAATTGTAAAATAGATTAATACAATATTCTTAAAATAAAACTTGAAGTTTCTCCTACCTTAAAATAAATTAAAAAGCTATTTCTTTGGGATTTTGTCAAAAACAACTGCTCTTAGCTATAACTTTAATGAAACTTAAATTCTTAATGTGACATTATTTGAAGTACATATGCATATTATTACAAATACATTTCTTTAATTATCTGAAAAGCCATAATTTCTTGGTCATGAATCCAAGTTTTGGCTAAAATACTCATCTTCACGAGATGAAAAATATTTCACAAAGATTATAAATCAATGTGTCAACAGTAGATAACCAACATTTACAATTTTATAAAAGAATACTTACACATTTTCCACCTCTTTTTAAATTCCTTTTGCAGGTATAAGTATATTATCATTCAGTCACAGAGACAAGCATCTACAAAACACACACACAATATCAGTTGTCCTCCCCTAATACCGAGGTTTAATTTGTACAAATAATTATCACTTGCTATGTCACTGAGCATATCTCATATACACACAAAAACAACAATCATAAAAAAATAAGGGCAGTAGAGGAAACAAATCTAACACAAATGTGCACACACATCTTAAATTAATACAATCCTAGAAAAGATTTGATCCTAAGGTATCTATTATCACTTGGGAACAGCTAGAATGATGGTGTGTTGGCCTCCTGCCTGTGCTGATACCACTTTACGCTCTGCTAATTGCTTGCCCGCTAATTTGACAGGAACTAGCTGGTCGTCATCATTGCCTTGCGCCAGCTGGTTGTTTGTACCCATTCCAAAACCATAGGCATCACCTGAAAACAATTATAAGATTTATATGAAGTGCTCACGCAAACTTTTGGATGTACAATACATATGAACATTATAGATTAACTAAGAAAAGCTATATTTTAATGGCGTGAACAAAACAATTTAAGAACGAAAATCCGTTATCATCAAAATATTGGCAAAAGAAGAGAGAAGAGAGAAGAAGAGAGAAGAGAGAGAGAGAGAGAGAGAGAGAGAGACAGAGAGA